AACCTCATCAAACTACATAGAAACAAGATTTAAAATGGTATCTATGTCAAAAAAAACTCCAATGTTTTTTCTAGAAGAAACAAAAAATATTGCAAGGAACATGTTTTTATCTAAACCTTAGGCATTATTTTGTGACAATATATACAAGGCAACCCTTTTATTCCTAATTTAGTAATTCACCTATCCTACTGGAAAAATACTTGGTGTACTCCCATTTTAAACTCCCAACTTGTACTTCCTTTCACATGCTTTTGATGTAGACATTTTTCTGTGGACCCACATGATGAAAATAACCAATTCTGGATTGCCACCTCAGGGAGTATAAATGAGGGAGTAGAATTTTGGGAGTCTATGTAGTAGAACTCATCCTAGTGAACTTCATATGACGGTCTTACTACTTGCATTAGGTGCAATATGTATTTTACATGCCCAAAAAAGGTAATCGAGTATGTGAAACACAATTCTCGTACTAGAATGTCATGTGTTCAATTTGTACTAACATATTCTCAGTCAAGCTCCTTTTATGAAGTTTTTATAGTGTAATTTATCTCGATCTCTTGTGTAATTTACGTACTATTATACAAATCAGAATTTACTCATGACGCGTTATTGAGATGAATCGCGAGTTCGCGGCGCTATATTATGATGTGTGAAAGGCATGGGTGACTAGCTAGCAATTCCATTTGTCGTTTCATGCAGAAACAATGAAACCTGCAGATCGAGACCATGAACTACGTTTCAAACTAATATTAGATTTCGAAAGCTAAAACCCAACTAACTTCCTTTGACTCATTTAACTAACCTAACTTCTATTTTACTCCATTTTTAACTTCCACCACACATTCTTCCACCCTAAACTTCAAAGTTTACATCGAGTCGGGTCAAATCACGCCTTGCTACTTAAAATATTATAATATACTCCGTAATAAGCATTATATTGCAAGCAGCTGTTTAACATTATTAATTACTAAACTTAGTATATATATATAATAAATATGCATGCACTCAGTCCAACCATCATCTTATATTTCTATACTAAATTTTTAGTCGAGACAAAATATATTCTTTAATATGCATGATACCATATATAGTCAAATCCATACAAAAAGTCATGGTTCGAACCTCCGAGCTAGTTACCTTAGTTAAAGCGTTATTCGATCACCTTGAAAACTTGTTGTGGTTATGAGTATATGATTGGGCGTGGAAGGCACTCAATCCAGCCTCCAAATTTTCAAGCTAGGATTGTTCGGGTCACAATAGACACAACGCGACGTGCAGAGTACTCTTCCAACCAGTTTTTGGACTTTACCTTCAAGGAGGGTAGACGTATAGTACTATTAAATAGAAAAAATAACTTTTCCTGGACCTTTTGTTGATCAACGTCTCTGAATTGAACTCCCTAACGTTGTTGGTACTAACTACAGAGTATTTTTACAGGGAATATTTAATAACAATCAAGCAACGTCCAAGCAAATCAGATGGCTCCCACAAGAATTGGACGCTTCTAACAACTACTTTCACTACGCGCCAGTTAAAAAGACTGTCTCCCATGTTGCTTAGCCCATAATACATACGTAGATAATAAACGTGCACTCCAATTATCAATAAAAAAAACACATAATTCTTCAACTTTGACATGACTACATCGCATTGGATCAGTAGTACACACAACTAGATCGAACGTACGACACTTCCAACGTGCCATACAGAGAGATGGTACTTGAGGAAGAAGTTGGTCCTGTTGGTGAAGTGTTGGCATCAACCAAATGCATACATATTATTATCATAAATAATTAATAGCTGGAAAATTTGTGTCATTTTCCTGCAGACGATAGCTATAGACTACTTTAGCCATCCAGCCAACCCACTGGAAAATTATTCATGTATGACTGGATGGGTATGATAAACGCTGGTTAAAGAAGCAAGTCAAATAATGCCATGAAAATGCCAAGTCATGGAGAAAGAGGTGTTATAATATTCACCAACCAGTAGACAAGAATATGTAAATTAGTGTTTGAGGTATGACATTGCAACTCTCTGCTTTATTCAGCCTTTTAAGCTTTTAACTTTACTTATAAGATTGTTGACAATTCAAGGGGTTTCAATTATAGCTTTGAATTATTTACATCCATTATATTATAAGATCCATAAAAGTCATATTTTAATTTAGTACATGATTATGAGTGATTTAATTATTTGTGATGATCCGGATTGTTCATTATTGTTAATTGTAAATTATGTGATTAAGCACAACCTAGAACAAGAGAACTTCATTTGTAAGATTAATGTGTGGTATATTTTCTTAATTGAAACGGAAATATGAATTAGAAAGGGAACAGACAAAATGGAGATGCGGGGGATCGAACCCCGTGCCTCTCGCATGCAAAGCGAGCGCTCTACCATCTGAGCTACATCCCCACATGTTTACAATATGTAATGTTAGCATTAAATCATTTGTGAAAATCGAATGGGAAGCTGGATAAATAAGAAAAAAACTATTTTTTTTTTTTTTTTTTTTTTTTACTTCTGCATTTAGAAAATATACAATAGATAAATGATAATCTCACTGTAGGTCTCTTTGACCATTATATAATTTTTAGATTTATTTTGAATGGATTAGACCTACGATAACTAGATTTTTTTTTGTTGGTGTAGTCCATATATCGTTTCTATCTTCGGACACAATAATTATTCCTATCGCTAACTTGTAGGCGCTTTAAAGGTGACTATAAACTAGATATTGCAATGTAATATTTATAATGTTGGCCCATTTGAATCTCGTAATTGAACTACAAATAATTAAATAAGCACAATGAATAAAAACTATGCCAAGTGTCTCATGATGTTGCTCGAGAAGCCGTTTCTATGTAAGGTTGCGGGAAGTGATTTGATGATCCTTCTCCTTATAAATTGTCTTCTTTTGGATTTAATTAATTAAGTTCTTAAGATGCGAATTTTATACATTGTCCCACTTTGACCCCCAAACTTTCTTTCCTTTTTTCACTTTACACCGTGTCCCTCAGCCTTTCCACTTTTCACACTTTTGCACCTTAAGATGCGAATTTTATACATTGTCACACTTTGACCCCCAAACTTTCTTTCTTTCTTTCTTTTCACTTTACACCGCGTCCCTTGACCTTTCCACTTACACTTCATTGACTTTTCGCCTTGTCTCACTTCAAATCTCATCCCTCCAACATTTACACTTCAACTCTACTTCTTAACACAATTCACACCACTAACTTTTTTCTCTTCCTATCTAGGTCTCAAAATCTTACCCAAGGGATCTGGTTATTCCATGGACTCATCAATTAACTCATGGATCTATGTTTTCAATTGTTTTATCGTGTTGTAAATTTAGTATCTCGACGTGTAATTACTCAATCTAGTCTTTGAATTATATATATATATATATATATATATATATATATATATATATATATATATATATTAGTTTAGTAAAATGAAAAAAAAAAAAGGAATTGAAATAATTGTACCCTTAATCTGTGGAAAAGTGTTTTTTGGATTATTCACTGAGGAATGCTAATTTATCCCTCTAAAATTGTTCACTTGTAATTTTTTCTCTTGACACTATTTAAGTGAATATTTTAATCTTTAATTACAAGTTATTGAATTATCAATTCATAGAGACGCAATGATTATAAATCACAAGAGAATTTTAAAAGGAAAAACTTTAAGATGGGTTAAATGCAATTTCCTTTTCACATTTCTTAAAAAGCCCAATTAAAAATTGGGCCATCTAGAGAAAGCCCAAAGAATCATCACTTTTTTCACGCAGAAAACAGTTGGAGTACGAGGTATCCGTGAAACACTCTATCCGCCATTTTATCTTTTCAACTCCCTACGAAAGGAATCGAATTGATTACGCCGATTAATCCGCAATTAGTCGGTTGCATCCGGTCAACCAGATAAGCCCCGACACAAAATTAGGAATTACTTAATTAATTAGATAAATTTATCTAGGAAAAATGGCACTTTTCCCCCCTATGTTGTTTACTAATAGCACATTTTCTCCCTGTGTTGTTATGTAACCACTTTATCCCCTCAATTGTTTTTGAAGTGGCTATTTTCCCCCCTCTCCGTTAAATAAGTGTTATGGATGTTAAATATGAGGGTAAAAATGACATTTCACTTATTATTGTTATTGTTGTTGTTGTTGTTGTTGTTGTTGTTGTTATTATTATTATTATTATTATTATTATTATTATTAGTAATTTAGTGATGCATTTGGTTTGCAATATAACTGTGCATTTTAGACGTGTAGTACTGCAGTATATTAGGGCATTGGGTGGGACTTATTATTATTATTATTATTATTATTATTATTATTATTATTAGCAATGAATTTGGTTTGCAAATTGCTGTATATTAGGGTGTTGGGTGGGGTCGTTCATTATTATTAATAATAATAATAATAATAATAATAATAATAATAATAATAATAATAATAATAATAATAAGTGAAATGTCATTTTTACCCTCATATTTAACAGCCCTAACACTTACTTAACGGAGAGGGGAGAAAATAGCCACTTCAAAAATAATTGAGGGAGATAAAGTGGTTACATAAACAACACAGGGGGAAAATGTGCTATTAGTAAACAATACAGAGGAAAAAAGTGTTATTTTCCCATTTATCTAATACTCCGTATCATTTTAATTATTATTCACACGCTCTTAATTTATATCGTTACACATACATACTCTTTTTAATTCGATTAACTTTTTTATGTGTTTGTAAATTATTATACAAAAATACTATTTTACATCATGTATATTTTCAAATAATGAAAATGCATTTCACTAGTCATACAAAAATTATCTAAGATAAGATTTAAAAATTATTTATCATACATAAATATCTCATGCATTTAAACGCTATCCATAACAAAAAGTGTCATTTTTTTCTGGTTATTAATTAAAATATATTTATATTTATAAGAAAAAAAAAGGTGGTGGATATGCATGGACGTGGGAACCGGGGAGAAGGAAGCGTAGAGATATACAGACGAAGAGAAACTTACGCTGCGGAAAACAATATTTCAGTTTAGGATAATCATTAATCATTATCATTCATCATTAATCATTAATTATGGCCTATATATTTAATCCTGAATTATCACAATTAACTTTTGAGTGCTTCTGAAATCTTTTTCTTCCCATGTAAGGAGAAACCGTTCGTAACGCCAAGAGAGAGCCTCCCTTTTCCTTCCCCAAACCGCCTTCCCACCGTACTGCCGCCCGCCGGAGCTCCTCCCTATCCCTCTATATATATAATAAATATACACATCTTTATCTTTATATTATTATTATGTATATATACATTTCTTATTTATTTTTATAACATTATTTGTTAATATTCTTTGTATTATTACTACTGTTAATCGTTATTCAAGATGGCGTTTGGATTGCTCATTCTCCGCTTCTGACATCTGCTTCACCTCCTCCACTCCCCCCCTTCCTGGTAAATTTCATATCTAGCGTTATAATTGAGAGAAAAGCCCTGTTTGGTAAAATGGTTGTTGGCTGATTGATTGCGTTAATTAGTGGGTATAAATAATTGATAACATTAGCTGATTGTAGAAAAGTGTTTGGTAAATTAGCTGTTAGTACATAACTTTTTAAATTTTAGCCTTTTGAAGTTGAAAAGACTAATTAACTGATATTTTAACTAAATCAAACAATTAATAGTGGTCAAATAAGTTAAAATTAGCTCATTTTTTACCAAAGAGGGCCAAAATATAGACTAGTTAAGTGTGATTAGATGCAGGTTTTTATGCATGAACCATTAATAGAGTGGAAATTTGTGGTTCTTGAAACATTTGGACATTGAAACAGGCCGGACATATTGTTTAATCGATGTGTTAGGGTGTGATGAGAGATATTGTTGGAGAGGGAAGAACTGGGAGCCTTGAGAATAACTCTGGCATAATTGTGGTCGCCATTGTTGTGTCAAACCGAGCAAGATGGAAGATAACCGAAAAGGAAAGGTAACAGGGATCAGGCAGATTGTGAGGCTGAAGGGGTTTCTGCAGAAATGGCAGAACGTGACACTGGGGCCCAAGAGGAGCAATAACCGCAACCGCCACCCATCATCGCCGTCGCCCTCGCCCTCGCCGTCGACGTCATCCCCTACAAAGGCGCTGCTTCCGAATGCGCGTCATCCGGGCGGCGACGCGGCGTCGTCGACGTCGCCGGCGCCCGGAGGAATTTCGCCGGCGATAAGCAAGAGGCTGATGAGCTACAACTCCTACTGCGATTCCGACGAAGATGGTTGGCAGAGCCCCGAGCCGCCGTGCGGCGTCCCACGCGGCTACTTGGCGGTTTACGTCGGGCCGGAGCTTCGGAGGTTCATCATTCCGACCACCTACCTCGGCGATCCGCTGTTCAAAGTGCTGCTGGAGAAGGTCGAGGAAGAATTTGGGTTTGATCACAGTGGTGCGCTCACCATTCCTTGCGAAACCGAGACCTTCAAGTATCTCCTAAAATGCATGGAGAACCACCAGAGAGAACAACACACCTCTGGTATGTTTGTTATCCCGATTAAAAGATTAAGTTGATAGTCAGACTAAACATTGTTATGTTCTCTTGATTAAGAGATTAAGTTGATAGCGATACTAAATGTTTATATTTTATATGTTTTATGTATATGTTATATGTTTGGTGTAGGGTTATTGATCTGATGAAAAGTGTGGTGTGGTATGGTTTTTGCAGCTGGAACTTCATATGCCATGGAGGAGTGAGTTGTGGCTTAAGGCTAATTAGCAATGGTCGACTATTTAGACCCGATATGATGATACTTTTCTTTCGTTTTTTTATGTTTCTTTTGGGGTTTATGGGGGTAAAGCAAAGGTTTTTCTTGTATTTTTGTATGCAGAATTCAAGTTTTACATTGTTATTATATACATCTCCTCATTAATTTTATGCTTCAAAAAAACCCAAGGGTTAATTCTTCAAGATTTCTCGCTTGAGTAAAGTCTTTTAGTTAAAATGATGAAAATATAGGGATGTATCTTTTAATTTTTTGGACGATTCCTGAGGACACACAAATATAATACCTTATGAAGGATGAAGGAGGTGTGATGAAGTGTTAGTTGATAGTATTAGTTGATTGTAAAAAAAAAAATGTTTGTGGTAATTAAATTAATTGTTTATTTATGCATAAACATATTGTGCTAATTTATTAATTTAATGTACTTTTACAATTTATTTATTTATTTATTTATTATTATATTATTATTATAGATTACAAGGATGAGTGAAATTCAAAAGAAAGAAAAACAGTATTGTTTGCGGTTACGGAAAAATAAAAGAATACGTAAGGCCAATCAGCTAACCAAAAACTTTAGTCTTAGCTTCTTAGCTTTTTAATTTTGGCTTATTATTCCCATAAACTAATGCAATAAATAATTTTACCAAACTAAAGTAACCGTGACAACTTATAATGTTGGCTTACATTTATCAACTCTTGTTTTGAGTTGGTTGGGTTTACCTTTTTGTGTGGTCTTTTGTCCTCTCTATTGGTGGCTGTGGTGGTTGACCATCTTGTTTTGAGTGGGAGGAGCCTGGGCTCTGACCGCGTGCTTATTGAAGAAGGGGAACTCACCGAAGCGAGTCTTCATAGGGTTGCTTATGGGCCCGAACCTGGGTGATCTATCCAGGACCAGGATAAAGCTTGGATGAAATTAAGTGGAGGTTCGAATCGACTGATGTTGAAGAATCATCGGATGAGTTGTGGTTAGGGTGAATTGCCACTCGAACCCAAGGTTGGTTTTCTTCTCTGTGGTTATTTGTTGACTGTTGCTTTTTTAGTTTGAGTCGGTCAATTATGGACATTGATTTTTCTCCTTGTGATCTTTTGTCGGCTAGGGGTGATAGGTTATATATCTCGCGTCCGAATGCCCGATATATCTGAGTTTCCGTTTTATAGTTGGGTTGGGGTCAAGCGGCTCGGGACTCGGTCGGCGGATAAAATCGGAGACAGGTCAAAATCTGCCACCTCTGTGTGCCTATAAAAGGGCTTTTGGTCCTCTAAGATGGGGTCTTTCCCTTGGTCACTCTCTCTCTCTAGCTTGTAGCTCTCCCTTCTCTCTAAACACATACAAGAACAAAGTGAATCAAAGAGGCTCACTTGCTATATTTCTTCTTGTTCGTTGTTCATACATTGACATACATGTACATACATCCTATATATCCGGGACTTAGTACTATCAAGGGGTATAAAATGGACTTCACTGCATATACCTAGTTTACTTCTTTGTAGTTTTTTTGTGAACTAGAATTAAGGTGAATTTCACCAGATACATATTAGTAGTGGTTGTGAATTTTCTTGTAAATAAATTTAAAAAATTGAAATGTTGTGACCCATCGGAAAAGTATGGAGCTGTTTTATTTTGTATGGGCGTGGGGTATGTAAAGTGAAATTGAATTTTGATTACTCAAGGTGCGCACATGTGCTCTCTTTTGTACCGTGCAGTGCATATATTGTTTGGTCTACCAATCCACCGTTTTGTACTTTAATACACGATGAGTATGTATGTATGTATGTGCGAATTGAAGACTACTTGAATTGTTTGCATTCAAGAACATGCACATGTTTCCATATTCATCAGCATAGTATCCGCTACCAGGATTTGATAATGATGTTTTTAACTCATCATACTTCAAATGTATGTTCTTCAATTCTTCCTCGATCCACTAATTCATGCATGAAAATTGTCGTCCTTTCGCATTCATCCTTGACCGACTCCACTATAAGTTAGTCAAATATAAAATGTGATTCAACAATGTTTAATGCAATGTTGAATAGAGAGTTTTGTCACGGATGTCGGATAAGGCCACAAATTGAAGACAACAACTCTAGCCATACTCGTTTTTTTGGCAGATAGAAGTGTCAAATAGTCTCGGATCTAATTGGTCACATGCATTATATTTACTTTACTTTAAAAATTGTGTTCGCTTAGCATTTTCTCTCGGTATCCATTAATATTGACATGTAATTTAAATACAAATAATTTGATGACTTGTTTCATTGTTGACTCATTCAAACACATAGAAAACCGCTACTCTCCCTCATCCTCACCACCATCACCGCGGAGGTCGATTTGAAAACAAAATCAGCAGCTTCTCTTGGCTTTGCACTACCATTTAGGCTCTCCCTTGTGTGCTCGTGAAAGGTTGGTGAGTGATAGCTAGTACTATCGACACTCTGCACATCCAAAATGAACAGAATAGATGTGCTCATTGGCTGTCCAGTTCAAAGTTTCCTGACAAATTTGGTTTCAAACACCTAGTAGATTATAGGACATTTTACAGTTGGTGCACGCCGAACTGAGGCAGTTGAAGCAAACAAGAGAAATGAAATTTCAAATTGTGACTAGGAGTGCAAGGCCATGAATAAGTTTTTCTGAGCATGTTTGGAATTAGGTGGCGAAGAGTTTCAGGATGTATGGATGCCAGTAAGCTCTACAGCAAAGCATGAAAGGATATGGTAATAGGCATATAAATATCATACAACCATGGAAAGTTTCAGCAACCCCGGCCCATACTAATGATATTGTGGGATTACTTGGGCACACAAGCTAAGTAACAAGTTGAAGGCATCAAACAATTTTCAGTTTTCATATCCTCATTATTGAATGAGGGATCCGATAGTAGCGATTTTCTCTGAGTTTGAATGAGTCAACAATGAAACAAGTCATCAAATTATTTTTATTTAAATTTCATGTCAGCATTATTGAAGTGCTATTACCTGATGGAAACCCGGAGAGAATGCTAAACGAACATAATTTTAAAAGTAAATATGGTCAATTAGATCTTATTTTAGATCAAGGGGTTAATTGAGCACTTGCGAATAGTAGATGGAGGTATTTGACACTACTTCTGCCTTTTTTTTTTTTTGTTAGACTACGAGATGTCCTGAGTATGTACTAACTATATAAAACACCTTTAAACCTATATCATGCTGGGCCGGCCCAATTAAAATGCATAATGTTGAACATATTGATTTTTTCATACCAAAAAAAATTTTGAACTACCCAGTGATGAGAGTGCACGACTACTCACACCAACCAGACTGGTTGCTCTAGCTTGAATTAATACTTAAGTTAGGTTGGGTTGAGGACAAAGTAATGAGCCTTGTCGAGGGGAACCCTAGCTAGACGAATACATGGGCTGCATTGAGAGCTACAACTGATAATATAATGAGTCTTCCGAGGACAAGAATGCTAGCTTAACTGGCTAGATTGAATACATAGACGACTAAGGTAAAGATGTTATACGAGGACACAAGTCAGAAAACAAGAACCCTAGTCAGACTAAATACATGGGCTGGCTGGCATGACCACGACCCTCCTCTACCCACCACCCAAAATAGACTATCCTGCTAAGGGCATACCCATCATGCCATATTCTCGAAATAGCAACTTAACGTTGTTTTATCCACAACCAAACACTAAACCATTCACGACAAAATCGCAACTTGGGTTCCATGATAGGCTCCAAGCTAGAAATGTTCAACATAATTCATTGAATGGATACTTTCGTGATCGTCCCTGTGGTCTTTTTTTGTCATGGCTGCTATCACTATATTTTTGGTTCCAGTCGTTTTCGGCTTGAACATGATGTTTGGCAAGTTGGTTATTGGTTGGCCTCACTATTTTAATTGCATTCAAACATTGATTTACAAGCTCACAATCACTGCGCTATTTGAAGGTTGTTGGGCGGCTCTGGATAAAGACCGCCTTATAAGCTCAACAAAAAATCATAAAAAGATAAACCTAGTTAATTAGCAAAGAACTAAATCAGTCTAAATTGCTTATCGTAGATTGGCTCAAATCACAAAAGCCAATAGACAACTCTTATAAAGAGTGACGGAACTGTTCTTTTGACATTCTTAATTTGAACTAATTAACTATAAGCAAACTAGGTCGGTTTAATTACCTCTTGTGATCAATTGCTAGCTAAGATCATCAAACAAACTTCACGATGATCGAACACACATTTAGAGAGTAGCTATGAGTTCTTTTTGTAATCTAAAATTTTTATATAAAGTCAAACTGAAAACTTTGTTGTTACTAACCATTAATAATACTATATTGCGCCAATTGTGTTCAAAATTCACTAGCGGATTGTGCGGCGAGGAGAGTGACCCATTGGCTATTTCTCACATAATATTCTTGTCATAAACTTATAAATGACTAAACTTCTACTATCACTTCAAGTGGACCTACGTGGTCCTAATTAATGCCCATTCCGACACAGTTGGTTCTATCCCATAAAACTTAGGTCGTTGGTATTATCCATACATATATATACAGCTTAGCTTCACGTACTGTTCATCTTTCAGGTGTGGTCTTGTTCTAATCTTAGCCGACTTATTAAGAATCGCATGCATGCCAATCTGTTCCATCATAATTCATACATGTGGTGCACTTTAATTTCTCCCATCACAAAAAGCCAAAACGTCTACAACACCTCACTTTTTTTAGACATTTCACCAAATTTTATATAACTGAAGATATTTTAATATTTTAGATTAAATTCAATCGTTTTAAAAGATTAAAGAAATAAACTTGATCAAAATAGCAGGCGAAGAACTTGTTAGCTAGAGTTATTGCCCATACCTTATTAATTTAAGACCAACCTAGTAAACACTCATATTATGTTATTTTGCTCTAGCCTATCATTTAGTATTTATAAGTCATTTGGTTTGTCATAGACTAAATTACTTAGCAATCTTAAAGTCATTAACTCGATCACCTTTACAACCTGACAATCACAAGGAAACAACTATATGTTAATTGGCAATCCTAAAGTCATCAACTCCCCTTGAGTCATCGATTCTCTTTGGAAAACTTGTACTTATCATTACCCAAATATATTCTTTGAGTTAAGCCTGTATTGTGATCATAGCTAATAAAAGAACCACAAAAAGATAAAGCAGCCTAAAAAGTTAATAATAAACTTACATAATGAGTCAAATTTCAAAGTCAGTTGGTTCAATCAGTGACTATAAAGTTTTAATTTTCTCCAATGAGAGCATGCGGTTCAAATCTTACTAGGAACCTTATCTAATAACTTCTGGAAGTTTAAATTAATCTGGTGTAAGCTCTGAAATATAATGTATAAAAAAAAATGCTGGTGACAGATAGTGGGCCCACTGGATTGTCCGAATATGCTGTGGACCGGAATGCTTTATTTTGATATTGTTTCCATGTAGCAAAATTGGGGCCCAGTGCTTGGGAATTTCTTTTCAGTCTGGATCAACTTATTTTGTATATTTTATCCAAGGACATATTAGTCCAATTCTTTGTTCAATGTATTGTACATCTTAGGCTCCACTCCACACACACACACATATATAATCATCACATGCCCACAAACATACATTGGACGAACTCCTCATATGCCCATATATGTACACAAAAAATTTCAAGTTCAACTCTTCTTAAAAATTATTTATGAATCACAAAACAAATTTCACCAAAAACGCACATTTAAATAATAACGGCAAATTTTTTGGTAAATCACAACTCATCAATCTTGAAAGGACAGTCAAATATGTCATTTATTATCAACACTTTTTTAGTTGAGCTCATTGTACGATATTTTTTTAGTACAATTTATGAATTATTACACAATAATATAATTTCTTTAATGCACACTCTTAAGTGATGACGATCAGTTTTTCTTATACATATATACATACAAAAAAAAAAGAAAAAAAAAAAGAAAAAAAAAAGTTAGGAATCATTATCCGCTATGGAACACCCCGTCCATACATGCACTCATTTCTCCATTAATTAATGCTGCTTTAGAACCTTTTTCCCTACAAATTATACTTTAATCACTTATCTAATTTTTAGGTACGTTTGAAAGTATGATTAAGAAAAATAAAAAAGAGACAATGCAAAATCTTTTTCCCCAAGGCCCAAGGGTACTTATCCTGTCACCAACCATCGTTCATGAAACTAATAGGTATACAAGCTCAAATCTATTTCAAAAAATTGATCAACACTAAATATGATAAATACTACATTGTAAGAGAGTCAGTAATATAATATCTTCAAAAAATACACTTATAAAGCAAATATAACAAAGACACTAACTTATAGGGCAGTTTCAAAACCAGGACTTTCCATAATTTGCACGCATGACTTATCAGGGACTAACTCATCTTTCCTTTAATTTACTTCTATTTGTATTTTATATTTATACATAAACATGCACTATATATATATATATATATATATATATATATATATATAAAATTACTAGGACTATATACGAGGGTGGGGGCAACTGCCCCACTGTGGGTCAGCTCCTGAACTCAAGTATTAATTCATAATTAATTATTTTATATCTTTCCCCGTTAACTGTTTACACCCCAAGTGGAGTATATATATGCCCTTATCCTCATCCCCTCTCCTTTGAAGTGCTTTAATCACTTTTTCGATCCATTTCAAGTCTAAATCATCATCATGTTAAACTGACTTTTCTAAGTAAAACTCAAACCTTAGAATTAATTTTATATATTTCTGTATGGTGTGATGTGAAAAGTCCACAAGCTAATATTACTCGATTGACCTTTTATTTGATCTAAAATTCTTTAACATAACACATAAAAATCAACTTCTTACCTTAGTGCATTAGTCAGTAAAAAGATTTCGGTTATCAAAAAGTAAAATAAAACATCATTATCATATTAAAACATGAAAATTATGAGATATGTAAACACAAGAAATAATTCAGAATCTGTATATATTAAACTCCAAATTGGTTACAATGAGCATCAATCTAAATAAAATCTTGGTGTAATCTTCTGATTCTTCAATTGGATACCTTTAACACTCCACTAAATGGCCTCCGGAACTCAAATACTTGATCTTCAAAGAATAGCTTATATGGCTTGTTCTTCGTTGAAGGGCATATTAACTCAAATTGTTTGATCCTTAATGGCATAATCTTCTCGGATGAGATTTTAAAAATGATTTTATTTTCAAGATCATTTTATTGTGTGATCTCTGAATAAGTTTCAAAATTTTCGAATGACGAGAAAAGTTCATATATAACTATTACTTGAAATGTGTGTACCGGATAAATCCAACAAAAACTATGGTATGAAAGTGAAGACAAAGCGCGAGACACACGGGAGAAGGAAATCATGGTCTGGAAGAACATATATTCGCAATTGGCAATAATATTTATGAATCTATGGGCAAGGCGGCGGCCCCCCGAGGGGTTTTGGCATTCAAATCATCATATTTACATTGGATTTCATCGGACCACCCACACATGGTCGTGTCGCCTGATCCACCACCACCCTTATTCATCCCTCCATTCTCTACTATACAACCACCGTACCCACCATATATTATATTGCTGTCATCTCCTCTCCATTCTCCATCCCCACCTCGCAACCAACATTTATCATCAGTGTGCACACATGCATGATCTGATCTGCAGAACATTATACCAATGCAATAGTGAAGTTCCGGGTCGACCCCATTTTAAAAGTTGATGGCTTCTTTTAACCTAAGAGTTATGTAGCATGCATGAAAACGGAAAATGAGTCATATAAGCTCTTCTTTAAAAATCAAGTCACTTGAGGTCATATTTTCATTAGTATATATTACGGTATAATTATCATGCACGAATGATGTGTTGCCATGACCGTTTGTAGTAGTACGGGCAGCAGGGTAATTTCTAAGTCCGTGTAGTACTTTTGTAAAGTAATGCATTATATTATATATTTTGTTTGGTTATATTAATGAAAGAAAAAGAAATATGCACTTATTATAGTGTGGTTTGATGTGAAAAACTGCTGGGACCAAATTTAAAGGGATAAAAAACAAAGAGAAGGCAGAAGAATAGTGTGTGCTAACACTTGCACTGTTACACAGTACTAAAAACATCAAACGACCATACCATGCTAATGTTGTATGATAGGCCGAACATGATTGGATGTCCTAAAAAGCCGTAAATCGCGATCGTCGTTTTCTCTTCTACATAAAAAAAAAAAAGTAATAATAATAAATAAATTGTTTTGCACTTTTTGATATGCTTCCATTTTTGTAATTTAATTAACTTGCTTATATAAGTAACAATGGGCGTGAGATGAGATATAGGTCTTTTTAACTTTATAATTAAATGGCTCAAATCCGTTTTGCTTGAATTAAGTCCGATTAATTGAATTTTTTGAGTGTGTGATGAAGAAACCCAGGGACATTCTATGATAAGAAGACCATGTGTGACATGCTCGACCAATATCTGTTAGACAAGAATCAGACCCGTGACTTTTTAGATCGAATGATAATCATGTTCTACTTACTCAACATCTTTTTGAGAAAAATTAAATATTTTTTTATTTAAAGAAATTAAAGCCCGCAATCACTATCTACAGGTATGTGAAATTCGTCTTATGACCCTAGTCGACAAGGACCACAAGAAATTAAATCAGTCTAAGTTATCAATATCTTACCAATTCAAACCAATGACACTAATAAAGAGCTTCCACAAAAAATCAAGTTTAGAAACTTGTAATTATTAAGTTAATTTTTTCTGGTTCGGTTGCTTGTAAATTGAACATTCTTAACATTAGCATTGCTTGTAAATTGAACATTTCTTAACATTAGCATTGGTCTCATTACTACACTGCACTATATAGAGGTCCACTAGACTACCTACTAGTGTTTATTGCCAAAATGTATCATACTTCAAATCCTGCCATTTGTCAAGCATGGTATAGCTCACTCAACTCCAAGATGGTTAAATTTCATACCCATTAAATAATACTTCACTTTTTGACACACACACACACACACATATATATATATATATATATATATATGAAAATAATAATAATAATAATAAAATTTAATTTACGGGGAATGAAACATATAGTCATTACTCAAAAGCACACTCTCAAGGGGCCGGCTATTAAGAATTAGATGAAAATTGGAAAGTAGATGGTTCTTATTGTTTGCATAGACAGCTCAATTGGTTCCTGTGTGGTAGATTGTGGACAAGGACATAAGATCGAGTCTAACAAACGCAGTGTTAAAGTTACACCTAATGTGATGGTGGGAGTTTTGGATGGGCGAGAGAATTTCGCCTTTTGTGGACAAGAATAAGATGGTGAGGCTATCTAGGCTTGCAAATTGCTATAGCCGTTCCATATTTTTAGTTCATTAAATGGATATACCTATAAATACATTGTAATAAACACGAAAATATTTATTTTAATTAATTATATTAAATGTAAAGTATAGCCCATTTGAAATAAAAACAATAAATTTATTTCTTGAAAAAAGAATGTACAAATATATTCTGTATCTGGAAAAGGGTGGTGGCCGGTGGGGATGCCAGGACGGCAGGACCACACATAAAACAGCTCTGGTGGCGGCTCCGCCGCCACATAATAGTTATTTATCAGCTACCGATCATTCGATCATCAATGGAGTACAGTTCGTGGTGACTAGATATATATATATATATATATATATATATATATATATATATATATATATATATAATGAATGAATTAACAGGCGTAAAAATCGACAAGCTCGTCCAAGGATTCCGGCTGGGGATCGGCATTCTCGAGCATCCACAGCAAGTGTTCGAACAGCACAACTTCGCATCCGACGGCGATGGACTCGTCGGAGTAGCTGCCGGACCGCTCCGCCAGTTCCCGGAACAGGGGGTGGTCGATAATGTCGGAGCCGACCAGGTATCGGCGGCGGGACTTTCCCACGTACACCGGGTGGAGGTCCTTGGAAGAGGCGGCGGCGCTGTAAGGGACGGAGCAGTGCTCGTCGTCGTCGGAGAAGGAGTTGGTGGTGGCGACAACGACGGAGCTTCCGCCGCCTGTGCCGCGGCTGAGCTTGAAAGACTGCATTTTCTTGAGGACGGCTGACTTGATCTTCGTGAGCTTCCCTCCTTTAGCCATGGCGGATTGTTTGAAGAAATGAGGTTTGAGGTATATATGTTAGGTATGGGGTTGAGAGGGGTGAGGAGGAAGAGAGAAGAAGGTTGATATATAAAGTGAAGGGATGGGGGTAAAATGGGGAGATGAATTGATAAATCAAGGTGGCCCCATGCATGCAAGTCTTGAGAATTGATATTGTTGCACCAAAGGACAAGGCTCCTCATTTATGCTTAATTGTGATTAATTAAGAATTTTCTATTTTAATAAATAATTAATCACCCAAAAATCTTAGAGTCCAGCAGCATATGCTAAATCTAAACTGCTGTCACGTATGCTAAATCTAAACTGCAGTATGTGTTCATAACTAGTTTCTCAACATACTGAAGCATAAAGAGTGAATACTGCCCCATGAGACTCAAACCCACAACCTTTCATATGAGAGAACAACTTGGTACCACTAGACCACAAGTTTATTTGCAACCGTTGAGTTACCATGATTTACATCCTCCCAAATGCTCTGTCGGGTCGGGATGTGGGGCACTTAGGGTTGGGGTTCAGCCTTTTGGAAGAAACGTTAAAAGGATTCCAAATAACAAGGGTATATGGGTTTTGATGGGCAGAAGTCAAAATAACAACTAACCGTTCAATTCAAGGGGGAACCATGACACGATTACATAATTAAGGATGCTTTTGCGATGTTTGTCAACATTAAGATAGAATAATTCATTGTTAATATTGACTTAAGCATCCAATTTTATCCAATTTTCCGCAATGACAGGGTAGACACTCACCGCACGTCGAGACTGCTAAGGTCTTCCCTTGACTCCTGCTTAGGAACATTTTTCTTTAATGTTAATTAGTTCATCATCATATATACATTAATTAAGCATTTCAGATAAACCCCATATTCGGTGGTAATTAATTGGACTCACCTTCACCTTTTATTTTGTTGGGTAACGAGAAAAATACGTAGCCGATCACTACTTAAGAATGTATAATGACTCACAAATCATATATAAAGGAACGTAAACTGTACTAAAAAGACTATGTGCAACGAATTCAACTGATAAGGTGTTGGTAAGACCATCCATATTTCTTCTTTTTACTCGTTATACTATCCTACATTACATATATATATATATATATATATATATATATATATATATTACGCGATTAATGAAATGTTCAATGAGAAAAAAAATAGCAAAATTATAAATCCACGTAAAAAAAAAAAAAAAAAAAAAAGATGAACAAAAATTAATGATTTTCAGCCGTGACCAACATATTTTATGTTCAAATCTTATAATGAATTGATTTTAATATAATTTTTTAGATAAGATTAGATATTCAACGAGAAACGAAAAAATAGAAAATAAATTTAATTTTATTGTTTCGGAAGTAGTTTAACTTACTAAAGCTTTATTATTAGTTATTGGTAATAACCATATACCTTAATAAAAGTTTTTTTTTTAAATAGTAATAATAAAAGACCCAGAACGTTTTTCTTATTACAAGAACATTTGTTGGTGAAAGTGACAGACATGTGGAACCGCAAGGGGAGTGTCGTCAACTTCTGGATAGGATTCTTAAACTTTTTATCCAATTTAATATATTTATGGTGGAGATACATCGTATTTTATACGAAAAGTCGTATTATACAATCATTTGTCCAATTAGAGATAAATTGGGGAATATTAGATTAACTGTTTTTGTTAGTTATGGAGTATAGGTACATATCGGAGGCAATTCCACCTGAGTTAGTTAAACAGTTAATTTGATAATTATATAATTTTATGTTCAACTCTCAGCTGGAGCAACATATTTGTCTTCTCAATTGAAGTCGGTCAGCTGTAAAATTTGTCATTGACCTTTTAAGTTTGAGTCAATCAGTTATGAATAATCTAATTTAGTTTACCTCATCATAGTCACCTTGTGGTTTTTTTTTTTATCAACTAGGGTCATAAAACATATTTCATTTAGAGCACACCTCCTTTTGACCATTTTAATTTGTGATTTTTTGTTGTCTAGAATTACAAGACGAGATTTTACCAGAGTACACATCCGAATAGCGACTACAAATTTTTCTGTAATTAAAGAATATAAGGACAAAGTTAAGGAGATGTCTTTTTAAAAAAAAAAAAAGAATTAATTATAATATTTTGTTTGAACTAGAGAATAATCAATTAACTAACTCTAATTAATTATATTAATGCGGAAAAAAAGGAATTATATGGAATTTTTAATTGATCTTTTTTAAACGTCAAAGCTTTTGTTAGATCGTTCTCTAAATGATTGAACTAAAATAGTGTGAAACATATTGTATGCATAATGCACCATATTATTCAATTGTTAATGATTATATTAACTTTGTCCATTTGTGATTATTAAGGATGTAGGGCTCAAATTGCATTGAGAACCACTCACATGTTATTTACAAAGCCTAACTTATCAAGTCTTAATCAAGTAGTAGTGATGCACTAAAAATAGGGAAAAAATATATATCAAATTGTAATTAAAGTAAAAAAAGAGTTTAATTTTCTCTTTTCTTTCGATGACAAGGAAAACATGCATGTAGCCACCAAAGAGATGAGGTAAATCGAAAAATTTATGTAACAAGTTCAACTGTGAAGGTGTTTATAACAAAAATAAAACTTGTATTCTTCTAATATAATAATCATGAAAATTTTAAACAAAACTTACATAGGTAAAGATAATGACATTGAAAATTAATATAGAGAGTGTTTGGTAAATAGTTGTTGTTAGCTAATTGGAGTTAGTGTGTTTGACTAGTTGATAACATTAGCTGATTGTAAAAAAGTATTTAGTAAATTAGTTCTTAGCTGATAGCTGAATACATGCAAAATAACTTTTTCAAAAAACTGATTGAAAAACTACTTTGAGCACCTTTTTTGAATTTTAGCATTTTGGAGTAATAAATATATACCACAAACAACTAATTAATTAAACACTTATATTAATTGTTTAACCAAACCAAATAATTAATAGTGATCAAATAAATCAAAATTAGCCGATAAGTTATTAAATAGGAGACATAATAATGATTAAGGTGGTCAAAATATACATACATGTAAATGCAAACTGGTGACAGTGATAGAAACATGATATATGTGTTGAACACATGGACTCCCACCATATATGTTCCAAGCTTGATTTCATCCACCACGTACCCGTACTTCAATCTCTTAACGCATTAACTTCTTTATGTCGCCCGACGCCCATTCCATGCATCCTCACCTCCATGTGGATATATAATTCTTGTATTTGCTACTCCACATCTGTACCTACATGCCTACATTATATATATGTTTCATCAAATAAATCCAATTTCTACTAATAAATGCTATTCTTTTTAATGTGTGATGTGTGTGTCTCTGTACACACACACACATATATATATATATATGGGAAGATCCATATGAGAACATGTTCCCAGGACTAATCTGATCTATTTACTTAGCTTGGGAATGATTGAAGGTTGTTGAAAAATAAGGAGAAAAAAAAAGAGGCAAGTCTTATAAATATTGTATAGTTGTGATCAGTTCTCACTTTTTACTCACTACTGAAAATTATGAAATTTCCGACCACTTGAAAGTAATCTTAAATCAAGTCGATAGTAAAAAATGGTCGAAAATAGCAACAAAGGTTTTTTCGGATACCAAAAATGATCGGAACAAAGCTTTCAACTTGATTTAAGATCACTTTCATGTGGTCGCATATTTCATAATTTCCAGTAGTGACTAAAAGATTTTATATATATATATATATATATATATATATATATATATATATATATATATATACATACATTATGTACTTACAGTTAACAATTTATGTACATGTAAACAAATAACTTGATAATTGGTGACACATAACATGATAGTTACATGTACATAAACTATTAACTGCATGTACAAATGTGTCAACTATATATATAAAATTTGACTTGATAATTGCTGACACAGAATATGATAAGTACAGCAGGTATAAAAACTATCCACATGTCAACTATAAATACAGAATTTGAAGGTTGTTTTTGGACCAGGGTCTACAATATAAGATAGACCCTAATCTATGATATAATTTACCGTGCATAATCACTCAGCCAACCAAACTAGTTACTTATTAATTTCTATTAATCATGCCGGCCTATGCTCAAACGGATAAAATGAATAAACAATATAAATTAAATGAACATACTGTTAGTTGATTCTTTAATTATACTTAAACTAGTGATTTATTTATCTTTTTAATTTAAAAAATACGATACCACATCACTGGATAACATTATACCAACTTTGTTGTATTCATATCTTAACATACATTAATTTAAATGTGTGTTTAATCGAATCTAGTTTAGATCAATGAACCATTTTGATGAGTCATTAAATTAAAGATGCTATTAGATGGGAAAAAGTCACACATTAGATCATGCTTAAGAAACTAATCACTGCTCATGACGGCGCTCTGTTCCTCATCAAAGTCCAAGAGAAAATGACAAATCGAACATGGTTGCTAACAAAAAAAGGGGGAACTTTCTAGAGTTGTTAATCCTATATTATATAACATAAGATAGAACCTAGCCAGTAATTATGTTGTTCGAGATTCCTCTCAATAAATTTTAAAAAGGCGAAGAATTAAATAGGCTTGAAATTGCTTTCAAAAAAAAATAGGCTTGAAATTTTTACGAAAAAATTAATTAAATTCATAAACTTTAAAAAATTATTATTAAATACTTAATTAATTTTTTTGTATACAATATATTTTACCATTCTCCTTTTTTAAAATCAAGATTTGGTAATTTTGGGTGTTTGGAACATTAGAAGGTAAGGGTTGTGTCATGTCACTATCAATGAACCTGTATATAAAATGGGAGTTTTTTGATTGTTTTGAAGATTTGATTCTTCACTGCAAATACATTCCAATCATTGCAGGATTTGCAGTTGCCCCCAAACAATTTTAATTACATCAAGTTATTCATAAAATAATGTTAATATTTTTTTAATGTTTAATATCCAATTATGGATGATACAAATTCCTTTAAGGAGACAAATTTCAA